GGATCGAATATCGAAACTTCTCTCCGGGCTACCCACAGAGTAATGGGCAGGCGGAAGTGTCAAACAAAACCAACATCAACGGAGTAAAGAAGCGGCTTGAAAGTGCAAAAAGAAAGTGGGTTGAAGAGTTACCCCATTTGTTGTGGGCCTACCAAACTATGGCACAATGCTCGACGAGGGAAACACCTTACTCTTTGACTTACGGAATGGAGGATGTTGTTCCACTTGAAGTTGGTCTCCCAACCCTCCGATCGGAACTATTTGAAGATGAAAGTAATGAGGAAGCTATTATGTAAGCACTGGATATGGCAGAAGGCCGAAGAGAAACAGCACTGATCAAACTTGTAGCCTATTAGCAACAGCTCATCAAGAGTTTTAACCAAAAAGTTTTCCCAAGGCAATTCACACCAGGTGAATTGGTTTTGAGGATAGCCATGGATCACAAGAAGGTGCCTGGTGACGAAAAATTAGGACCTAACTGTTCATACAAGGTTACAGCCGTTGCTAGGAATGAAGCATATTACTTAGAGGATCTCAGGGGAAAAGCCATACCTCGGCCCTAGAATGTGGCAAACCTCAAGAAGTACCATCAATAGACCCAACCCCACAATTATCTATCAAGTGTGAAAGCATTTATCTTTTGCTTAATGAAAATGCTTCCGCATTTCTTTGAACTTTTGTTGCTAGCACTTGTACAGCTTTATGGTCATAATGGATTATTGCTTAACTTGGTCTTTATAATCCAAGCCCTGGGGCCATATTTCAAAATAAAAATACTTAGCTTTGGTGTTTACCAAACGGACTCATCTTTGGTGTTTACCAAATGGAATCAGCTTTGGTGTTTACCAAACAGACTCAACTTTGGTATTAACCAAACAGAATTAGCTTTGGTGTTTACTAAACAGATTTAGCTTTGGTGTTTACCAAACAAATTTAGCTTTAGTTTTAACCAAATGAAAAAAGTTTCAAAACGATCGAACGGAATTTAGTTTTGGTCTGCACTCAAACATGCCAAGTGGGATTGCTTGGTGGAGTTATGTTTGGCCACCAAAATGGATCTTAGCCAAGTGGAATTGCTTAGTGGACACTGCCCTAACGAATTTTTCGATGCTCAATTCTTTTTTCTTAGCAATCACAGAATTTCTTAAGTACCATCACATCAACACTTTAGTACTGCTGTATCCCAACAAAGTTAGAACGGACATGGATAATTCTTTCAAGGCCAAACTTTTAGCATTAGTCTCACTTAACTCCAAGTGGGGGCAAACAATTATTTTTTCGGAACCAACCTGGACCTGAGCACGACATCTCTTCTTTGTATCTTTTTGTTCCATTCATATACACACATGCTATCGAAATCGAAATCGACTTAAGCAGCTCTCCACAGAGAGAAAGTTCTTCAGTACCAATCTTACATAGCTCCAGGTGGGGGCAAACAATTGTTTTTTCTTGATGTCAACCTGGACCTAAGTAAGTCGCTCTCATTCGATTACAAAAATAAATACAACCATATAGAATGAGCATCTATTCAGCCCTGTGGTCCAAACAGCGCTCGGTCTGGGGCAAATAGTATGGACAACGCAAGTATGGAAGCAAAACATATTAGATTGCAACATCAAAAGGAAAATTCTGTCATCCAATAATGGCACAGCTGGCCTCACAAAACAGTAGCAAGAAGAAAGAAAATTGTCTTGACAAACATAAGGGGGAAACTTGTCAGGAAGACCGACCTCCAGTACTGCAGAAAGTAAAAAGAGAGAGAGAGAGAGAGAGAGAGAGAGAGAGAGAGAGAGAGAGAGAAGAAAAAGCAAAATGTAAAAAGAAAAAGTTCAAATTGTTTCAAAGATCACTTCGACTTTCATCAGCAGGAGGAATTTCAGGAGCAACATCTATAATCTTATCCAGGCCATCTTGGGGAGGAAAAGTAGAGACAGCTCCAACTTCCTGGAAAGCAGGAGCCGCCTTAACCACATCTCCCACAGCTTCAGTTTCCAGGGTTTCACCCCCTTCAACATTCACTGTTTTATTGGCAGTGTTGCTCTCCAGAGTCTTGTTTGCAGAATCAGTCCCTAGGGAAATTTTCGCTGGAGGAATAGCAGGGGTAGCAGCAGCCTTCAGACCCAAGGACTTTGAGGAAACATGAATATCTTGAAACAAAAAAGACCCTTCAGGAATTTGAGCAGCGGTTAGGGCACTTGTCCAGCCCTTCAGAAAAAGCTTGTCTCGCAATACCAGCACCTCCTCTTTGTAAGCAGCTCCAGCTTCGTCCCAACCTTGCTGCCAACACTTAGCCACCAAAGTTGAACGTTCAGCAACCATCACTGCTACAACCACCTCCAGTTCAACAACCTTGCTCTCAAGTTGGGCCTGAACCCCAATAGTGGCCTCTTTCGAATTTTCAACAGAGGCGACAACCTTGTTCAGGCGAAACACCCCCCTCTCTACAGTCCTTCAGCCTTTCTTCTCGGCCTCCAAATTTGCCATCAGCCTTTTAACACTCATAGCAGCCTCTAGTATAGCCCTCTCCAATTCCTCAGCTCGGGTGATGGATAGATGCATCCTCTGGATGCACTACAACATATAACAAAATATTAAAGGAAAGCAAGTAGCACAAACCAACAAAGAACATTAAAAGGAATATAGAAACACTTACAGTAGTCATCATTTGAAGGGTCTCCTTTAGGATTGGAATATCAAGGGGCCCACTGTGATCCGCCATGTCAACTGGCATCAACAAAGTTTTGGTCAAGTCAAAAGTAAAGTCCCCAGAAGCAACAACCGAATTAGAAGTAGAAATGGGTCTGCCTTGATGCAACATAGGCGGTTCCCACTTCTTAAATGACTCATCCTCAACAGGATCCATCGAAGCCTCACCAACGATGGCCTTGCCAATTTCCCTTCTTCTCTTTTTTGCCCTCTCAACAATCGAAGTAATAGGATCAGTAGCAGCAGTAGAAGGACCAGAGGCCCCTATCTCAAGCTTTACATCCATGAGATTTCTCAGTTCAGCCTTAACCAAAAAAGTCTCGAAGGCTAAAGAGGAGCCAAAGGCTTTTTCGTCAGGGTCCACCAGTACCCTTCTCTTGGCCATGGATCCTCCCCCTGTGAAGTTGGGGGTAGGAAAAGAGGTCCTCTCAATAGCTAAGCTCCGGCCACGGTAGCGGTTTGTAACCAGAGGAGCAAGTGGAGTGTCGATTTCAATATTAGAGTCAATGAGAGATATAGCTAGCCTCGCATTTTTCTGGATTGTGGTACGATAAGTCGCTTGAAAATCCAATAGTTTAGGGGCGAACCTTTTCTTATATCTCAAAACGGCCTTAATCGCCTTAGCATTCTCACGGTTCACTCTGCATTGATAATGAGAAGCCTCTATAAAGAAAGGGGGAACAATATTAGCTCAACATTCAAACAACACAAACAAGCAAAGGTATAGAAATACTAAGGCACATGATTCAGACCTGGGTAGCCATACTTTTGAGGCATCCATTCAAATTGGAACTCAGTTCCAGCAGGGACCTCCCATTTACCACCCACTTGTAGGAAATCATCATTGTGTTTGTCAGAATCAGGTAATCTGGTGACAAGGTGACAATCGGCCGAATGAACATGGAGATAGTAGGTACTGTGATCTTTATTGTGGGAAAGGGTATAACAACCTAAAATATCCCAAATGTCCAGATTCGAACCCAACCAATTGTTAAGAGTGGAGACACCACAGACGACTCGGAACAAGTTCACAGACACTTGCATTGGGGTTAGTTGAACTTGATGCAAGAAACGGTGTACTAATGGATCAAGGGGAAACTAGACCCCTCCTTTAACAATGACAGTAACAGGAAAAGCAACAATGTTTCTAGTACCCATACGCTTGACAGCAACTTTCGCCAACGAGAGGGTCACATCGTTAGGGATGCCATAGTCACGGTGAAACAAGGCCAATGCTTCAGGAGTGTCCACTAACGCATGGAATTTACCCATTATTTGGACCAGATAGGACAAAACTCAACTAAGTAATGAATAGGAACAGTCATTGGAAACAATGGTGCAAGGGCCAAAAAGGGCGACCAAGACAAAAAAGCGAAAGAAAAGATAGGTTTCAGGAGAACTTACAGAGGTCTGACGAAGGAAGAAGCATTAAGCAGAGATCTTCAAGACTGGAATGAAAACGACAGCAGTAATTGCGGCAAGAGTCAGAGAAGAGCATCGTTAGGACCAAGGAAGAAGAATGAAAGGGTTGTGGGATTTTCTGAAGTTTGGAGATAGACGGAGGGATTGAATTGACACCCCTAGGGCATTTATTTCCCTTAATGGGTGCAAAGGTACAAAATCAAGCCTCCCTGTATGGAAACGACACACTATCTTTACACGCCAGTATAGTGTTCCCACGTGTCACCATAAAAGGACACAAGCAGAATGCGTGTGTCAGGATCGAACAGCCACCAAGGCCGAACTAGAGTAGACCCAAAGTGACATGACAGATGGGGTACTGAATGGTAGCTCCCCCCAAGGGGAACCTTAGCTTGAACTAGGGGGCAAATGAAGGGTCTAGATATGAAACGGGTTGGATCTAAGCCTTGGGCCGGCCCAATCCACTAAACCCAAGACCAAGTGGGTCAGACGAACATATGGGCAAGCTAATTAAGCCCATTTTCATGATCAATAGTCGCCCAAGTCCTCAACCATTTGGGTCCAACCCGCAGTGGAAAGGCCAGTCCAGCTGCGATACCAGGCTGGACCGAGCTGCAAAACCTGATCCTTGGACCGAATCGAAATGGGACGAGCCCATACAAAGATATCCTACTGGGCTAGCCCATCTCTACAAATAATCTCACAAAGGGCCGAGCCGAGGCACACCTGTACTGGACTATTAGAACCCCACAGCGAAAAGTGGGAGCTATGAATGCAAGCATGTGCAGGATGTCACCTCAGCTGGTCCCCTCTCCCTAGAATCACGAAAGCAGTTGATCAAGAGAATGTGATCTGTTATGAGCACGGTTACAATGAGTATATGTACCTATTGTCAACTACCTAATAGTCCCCTACTTGAAGCAATGTTAAAGGGAACCTTGCAACACCAAGGCTTGATGAAACCATCTTGGCCAACAAGTAAGGTGTTCGATATAAACTCAACTTCACTTCACATTGAAGGTAACTAAGCTGGGCAAAGCTATACTCACTAAAACACAATTCTCTGTCCTCTCCGATCACTTACTCCCACGCCAGAGAGGTTATCCGACCAACCCCGGCCGGGCAGCCTTGACGGTGTTCTCTGTTGCAGGGCTTTAGTTCCTGGATAGTCCAATCAGGTGCGGAGCTCCAATCTACAATCATCTAGTGCGGTATTCAGTACGCACAGGGCACAAGTGTAGCACGTGGTTGCATTGGAATGGATCGAAATTTATTTGAAAACGTTTGTCAGCTCCAACCCAACTTTTAGAACATTTGTTGTCTAAGTCCCCTACTTTTTCAAAATGCCTCAGATTACTTGTCCAAAGCCCAACCACAACACAAAAAAAAAAAAAAATAATAAAAAATAAAAATTGGGAAAACTGGAGGGAAAAAAGAATGTCATGAGGCATAATTAAAAAATAAAAATTACTGCTCCTTACCTTATGTTAAGAAAACCAGTCTCAGTTATGTCCAGTATGAAGTGAAAATCTTTTGAAGTACTTATAAAAGCAATATGTCTATCATGTTCACTATGTTCTCTGTGATTGACTTCTAATGACATTTGATCGTGGTCGTATGCGCAGATTCTAAACTACTATCTAAGTGGAGCAAGATGAGACATCTAGATCTAAGTCATAATTCTTTAGACAAGGACATCTTACGGATTTTGGGTGCTCTCCCGTCACTTAAGTTTCTCTCCTTAGATAACAATGCAATGGAAGGACCACTTTCTAACCAAGGTGCACGTATTTTCTTTTTTTCTTCTTTTGTTTTCTTTTTTCTTTTTATTTTTTAATTCTTGTTCTTTAAGTTAATTTTTTAAGCTTCATTTGAGTGTTGAGAAGACTTAGAGTAGTTGGAAAATGAAATCTTACAACTACATACTAGCTAAGTGACTTTTCACATCTTTATTTCCTTTTCCACCTCCTGGTAAGCAAACTGTGGAAACTACGTTTTTGTTTATTATGTTTTGCTTTTCTGGTTTTTCTAATATATCAATGCCATTGTAGACAATAGAAATTTAAAATCATTTTTTTTTAGTTAGCCCTGAAGCACTAACTGATTGACCTGGACCAAAAAAAAACAAAAGAAACAAACAAACAAAAATATTGTTCCTTCTTTGGTAACCGAGGTGCCCATAAGGGTAGGTTGCCTTGTAGCATCAAATCCAATTCTGTTCGTCTCTATTTTCTTTGTTTCAATGTATTTAACATATAGTCCCTTCACTTTGGTGACAGAATTGACTTATAATGTTAGCAATTTGGAGGTCCTCACCCTCTCACGGAATCAGCTCAATGGAACACTGCCAATGGAAGGCAAGAAATTTGTCATTTTAAGTTACATTGTTAATTTGTTTTCAAATGGATGTCAAATTGTCGTCTTTATTATTATTTTTTTAATCTTAAGATAATTTTTGAGCTTTGTTATTTTAAAAGTTCTTTTGGCATCATTTATCTTTTATTATATGTTTTGGCAGGTTTGGCATCTTTCTACAATCTAAAGATCTTGGATTTGAAACAGAATGGTTTCTATGGGAGTGTTCCTCCATTCATAGGGGCATCTTCTCTGAAAGCTTTATATTTGAGTTCAAATAATTTTATTGGTTCTTTACCCATTCAAGGTAAAAATCTACCATGATGGTTTGTTAATGTAATGTTAACAAACTAAATGACAGGAAAAAAAAGAAATTTAAATAAAGATGCTAATATGCTGGGTTTTATTTGTTTATTTATTTATTATTATTATTTTAAGTTCATTGCTTTGTGCTTGGTTAATTTGTTCATCATTTATGAAAACTTTGAACTATCATTATCTTTCCTTTTAAGAGGTAGTAAATTTCTTATAATAGCAAACATTTTGAAGAGTATCATATAAATTTCTTCTAGCATGACCAGTGAGATGGTCATTTACATAAATTTGTTGCTTTTGCAGGTTTATGTGAACTGAAGAAACTTGAAGAGCTCGATCTCAGCTATAACCACTCTAAAGGAATCTTTCCTCCATGCATAAGCAATTTGATGTCTCTCAGGCTGCTTAATCTTTATGGGAACCAATTCACAGGAAACCATTTATCATCTCTGCTGGGCAGCCTCAATTCTCTAGAGTACATTGATCTTAGGCATAATCGATTTGAGGGATTATTCTCATTTTGCTCATTTGCGAACCATTCCATGCTCGAGGTGGTTGCAATTACAAGTGATAATGACAAATTTGAGGTGGAAACTGAATATAAAGATTGGTTACCCATGTTTCAGTTGAAGGTCCTTTTGCTACCAAATTGTAATCTGAACAAGCGCTCTGGTGATTTTTCGAAGTTTCTTCTTCACCAGAACAAACTAAGTTTTATTGATCTCTCCCACAATAACTTGGAAGGTTCATTCCCAAATTGGCTACTTGTGAACAATAACAAACTGAAATATTTAAGACTACGGCATAACTCTTTTGTTGTTGAATTTCATTTGTCGCCAGATTACAATTCTTATACTTATTGGATGGATGTTTCAGACAATCAATTAATTGGGCATATTGAACTTAGTATGGGGGAGCTGGTTCCATATCTTATATACATAAACCTATATGGGAATGCTTTTGAAGGTAGTATCCCATCCTCAATTGGTAAGATGAGAATTTTGGAGGTTCTAGATTTATCCAGTAATAATCTTTCAGGAGAAGTACCGAAGCAGTTAGTCATAAATTGCAGATCTTTACATTCTTTAGTGTTATCAAATAACAAATTTCATGGCCGAATGTTTTCAGATGACTTCAAATTGACTCAGCTAGAGTATTTACGATTGAATGATAATCAGTTTACAGGGCCTCTAACAAATGTGGTCTTCAATTTGTCAGAACTATATTTGTTGGATATTAGCGACAACAACATGTCAGGTAAGATTCTAGGATCGATGAGTAACATGATAGGGCTTAAAACATTGATCATGCGAAATAATTCATTTAATGGTTAGTTCCCACGTGCATTGGTTCCAAATGTGTTTATGGACATCTCTCATAACTCATTTTCGGGATCACTTCCTTGCTCAAACCCAAACTTGGGAGTCGAGGAGCATATGCATTTGCAAGGGAACAAGTTCACGAGATTCATTCCAAAAGCTCTTCTTAATTCATCAAAACTTGTGACATTGGATGTTAGTGACAACGACTTGTCTGGCAGCATTCCCCCGTCCATTAGGTTGCTTTCCAACCTCAGGATCCTTCTATTGAGAGGAAACCAATTGGGTGGTTCCATTCCAACACAATTGTGCCAACTGAATAAAATAAGCTTGATAGATCTTTCGAAAAACTCTTTTACGGGGTCTATACCTCGTTGTTTAAGTAATATCACATTTGGGGCAATAGGGGCTACCACTACAAGAATTAACACTTTTGGCAACAAAAAAATTGGTCGCTAAAAGCCCATTTTTAGTCGGCAAAAGTTATCCGCGACTAATTTTTTTGGTCGCTACTTTGGTCGCCAATTGAGGGTCGGCAAAAGTAATTCGCGACCAAAATTTTGGTCGGTTGGCAAAAGTTGGATTTGCCGACTAAATTTTTGGTCGCTAAATATATCATTACTGCGACTAATCCATTTTTTCGCTAAAACATTTTGGTCGCGAAAAGTCACCTTTTACCGGCCAAATATCTTAGTCGCCAATTGTCACATTCCACGACCAACAAATTTGGTCGCCAATTATCACATTCAACGACCAAAAAGTGTGGTCGCCAATTATGCCATTTCACGACCAAAAAATTTGGTCGCCAATTATGACATCCTGCAACCTCTTAGTTTGGTCTCCAATTGTTACATTCCACGACCAAAAATTTTGGTCGCCAATTGTGACATTCTGCGACCTCTTAGTTTGGTCTCCAATTGTCACATTCCACGACCAAAATAATTTGTCGCCAATTGTCACATTCCACGACCAAACATGTTTCTCGCCAAAAGAAATGTTTGCGCAACTAAAACTTTAGTCGGCAATAGACCTATTCGCGATCAAATCCTTTGGTTGCCAAAATTAATAATTTTAACGACTAATTATTTAGTCACCAATTGTGCTTGGTGATACACTGACCACTTTGTTTAGTCGGCAAAAGTATAACTTATCTTTCTCGACTAATCAATTGGTTGCCAAAACTATAAAAACAAAACCAAATTTTGGTCGCCAACATCCAACAAAATAAACCTGTAATTTATAATAATCCATCCAAATTATTCAATATAATCTGTAATTTGCAAAATCATTCAAACCAACAAATAAATTGAATCATCAACATTTAACAAAATTTTCTATATATAACAACCATTTCTGAACCTGTTTAATTAAAGTCAACAACTATTATAAGTTTACATCCACAAATAATTCCAAACTACATATTTCATCTACCATAAAAATTTAAAACATAACAAGTACTTGTTATTATGTTTTAAATTTTTATCCATGTACGTCAACCCAAAAATATAACTAGTAGTCTTCCAAATATTTTCTATACACATCCATCCAAAAATATAACTAGTAGTGTATCCAAAAATATAACTACTAGTCTACCCTAATATTTTCCATATACATCTATACAAAAATATAAAATCCTTCCAAAAATGCAAAAAGTGCCAATTTGTCATTTACAATTTAGCTTTATGCACGAGTTCATCCATCTGCACCAAAGAAAAAGAGAAATAATGTCAGGTAAAATTGGACAAATAATGAAAAATGTCCATGAAAAGGAAAGGTCACATTAGCAAATTAAATGACTATCATTATCAAATTGTAAATAAAACAATAGCATTCTTATGTCTATAGAATAAATTGGATCAGTCAACATTCCAGATCCAATATAGTGCCACATAGCAGAAACCAACATGGCAACTGAAATTGATCCATATTGTCAATAACTCTTATCTTCCTCAATGAACCTTTCATGTGAATTAAATTTCAATCCAGAACCAACCACAATCAATACCCCAGCTGTGTGTGCTGCTATGTGATAAAACAGCTTTTCAGAAGCCTTTCATGTGATAAAACAGGTTCTGAAACTTTTCCTAAATGTTTCTATTTTTGTGAATGGAATGACATACTGAGAAGTAATTCAATCCTACCTAGGAGTCTATGTGAAGTTCCATATTTGCTATTCTTCTTCTTTCCATACTTGTCATCATCAGTATGTGTACTTAGCTTGGTTTTATTTAATCATTAAAATTGCGAACCTCAAGACTTAAGCATTCACAGGATACTTGGGATTTCAAATTGCTTTCAGACATCATCAGTATTTGAATGTTGTTAGCTATTGTGCTAGATAGTTGAGGTCAGCCTGATTTCTCTTAATTTCCCCCAAAACAAGAGAAAGAACCATCCTTACATGCAAAATATGAATAAACATTCAACCATACCATAAGTTTATCTCATTTTCTCCAATTTCAATATCATATTTACAATAGATGTCTAGGCATACATTTCGCCTACTTAAATTTCAAGTCAACAATGTTACAAGTGTAGAGATACAGAAGCTTTTAAGCCTTGCACTAAAAAGAAAAAAAAGAAAAAGAAAAAGGGCTTTTAAGTCCTGAGTTGACTATACATTTCTTTTTATTTTTCCTTTATTTTAATAGGAGGCCACTAGTTCAGTGGTACCCATCTACCCCTCCCAAACCCCCCATCTAATGGGTACTAAATTGGGTATACTTTTTATTTTTCCCTTAATTTGATTTGGGCATCACATCTCTTTTGTCAATTCTTTCATTTGATTGTCTCTTGGTTGATACAACACAATACAAAGATGAAGAGAAAAGAAAACATTAGTTTGTGCCCAATTAATAATAAACCGTGGAAGATTGAACTCAACTAATATTAAACCTAACGAAAGATTTCAAAAAATATAGGATATGACAAGTGGAGAACATGCACAAACTATATAGTTGAATATACTTACTACATGGCATAGATAAGGGTAAACAATTATTAAATGTCATATACATGACTATTTAATATAATAATAATAAAAATAATAATTTTAAAAGTTCAAAGGAGAAGAAAAAATATATAAACTTACGTTATTTTTCTTTAATAATTTGATTTCAAGCTATTTTATTCAAAATTATAATGTGATTCATGTATGTTTAAGAAATAGACACATATTTCTTAAGTGTAAGAACTGTGTCCAAGTAAACAAATTTTAAAGATATGTTTGGACATATGTTCGACAAATGTTGGGAATTGTCCGACAAGTGTCATGCCGTGTTAGAAACCAACATGATACGACACCTTCTTAGAAGTGTTTGTGCTTCTTGGACTATGACTTTTATTAATTTATGTTCTCAACAACGATATTATTTTCCTTGAATAGAACGGTTCATTACATGCTTGACTAGTGAGGTTATGTATATGATGATGTGACATCTTCTTCCAGAGCATAAAATCTGAGATATATTTAGGGGGGTGTTGGGTTGTGTTTAGTGTTCAAAATTAACACTCTCATTTTAAATTATATTTTTGATAAGTAAAGCCATTTTCTAAATGTTAGAAATGCTTCTACAAGAAAGTCATTTTCTAAATGTTAGACATGCTTCTACGAGTGTCCAAGAAGTTGGTGTTTGACACTAACACAACACCTCACTGGAAGTATCTATCACCATTCAAGTGTACATGCTACTTGATCATGACAACCATTGATTTCATAACTAGCATGAATGACTTCATCTGAATCATAAGGCTATTTTCATAAACATGCTGGCCAGAAATTTGGACATTAGCTATTTCTGTCAGTTATTTCCAATATTGCAGCTGGCACCACTTTAGCTTCCATGACTTCAAGCTTGACTCAGTGAAGGAACAATTAACTCAAGACGAGAGACAAAAACAAGAGTAACTCTATAGGAAAGATAATTTGTGAATATGCAAGCAGCTACAAGTTGTCCATAACTCAATAGGTTAAGAGTGAGAATCATAAAAAGTGTACCAGCTCTGGCAATGTTCTCCTTCAGCACAAAGAATCCACCAGGCTTTAGACCACCCTAGAAGTGAAAACATAGTCCATCAAAATTAGAATTCACCACATAGAAATGTTCTTCAAATCATTCAACACAACAACAAAAAATTAAAATAAATAAAAAATAAAAATAAATAAAATCCCACGTGTTGAATAAAATCATCCTACAAGGAAACTACGTGACCTTGATACAGATAAGATTGTCCATTGCCACGATGTACATAGTTTCTTTAAGACATTGAGCTCCAAGAATTGTAAATGCAAATGCAATATTTTTATGGATACAAATTTTTAGGTGTCATTGTTGAATACGGCAATAAAGGCAAAGATAAAATAATCCATATTTGTCCATATTTGTATGCATTAATTTGTGTTACTCAACCTTCTTTTAGTTACTAAAAGAAGTTCAGTACACTACTAAAAAAATTACTTATTGCGACCGCTATAAGCCGTCGCAAATAATAGAAATACAGTCGCAAAAAGCCTTTTGCAATGGCACATGCGACGGCAAATGGGGGTCGCGAATGTGGGGGTGGCAAATACTTTTTGCGACCGCAAAACAACGGTCGCAAATACTATTTGTGACCGCCTAATCTACTTATGGCGACTGATGTTTTGCCGTCGCAAAAAAGTAAAAGAAAAATTCCTATAATGTATTAGCGACCATCTTGTTACTATCGCAAATAATTTTCAATGATACCTTATAAATACTGTAATAATAGTTTCTAGCAACCAATATTTTGAAATAAATCTACCAGAATAAGTTATGACACCAAATAAAACCCTGCTGAAAATAATAGCACCAAACCATTTGTTTGAGACAAATTTGGCAAAATCATATTTAATTGTAGGCTCTAAAAAATACTATTCCAGCTGCAATTCCTTGTAAAATTACATAAAATCCAACAAGCTAGCTACATAAAGTGTCAATAACCAATTTTCCTTGCCAAATAATAATACAATTAGCGATACAAGGTGCTCTTCCAAC